ACAGCAAGTGGAGTGAGTGGGGGATATCATTCTGCTTATGCCAGACTAAGGCATGTGTGGTCCTTTCCATGCAGCCTGAGGTTTTACCTGCATGCTGGGAGCACACACCCGGTTCTGCCGTCTCACTCTGTACTGACTGGAATGTAAAAAAAAAAAAAATATCATGGGACAGAAAATGTGTACACATATTCTGTGTATATAACTATACAACAGCACATTTCTTCAAATCCCCATGCACAAAAGAAATGGATTCTTGAATGCTGGTGAGTTATAAATGTTTAAAGTATATAATTATTATATTTGAATTAATTAGTTGGAATAGACATAGGATTAGAAAATAAATGCAAAGACAGGAAAGCTATCAAATAGCGTATAGGATGGGAGCTAGGCTCTGAAAAAAAAAAATCATTTACTTAATCTAATCAATTTTTCCCAAGTTCCAAAAGCCAGGTATTTCCCCCTAAGATAAAGGACCCAGAACTGTACACTCTGGTTTACAAATCCAGATGATACATTCTTGATAATTCATTTTCTGGCTCCCAATGATTATGTTATTACCTAATTGTTCTTGTCTGTACAATGCTGTATGTCATTTTCTTGAATTTTATCCTTGAAAATTCTAACACGTTCTTTTTGTGAGCTGCCTACACAGAATGAAAGTCTTCAACATCAATGAGAGAAAAAAATGTACCTCTTTGATAGTTAGGGGCTTACAACACATTATTTCCTATGCCTAATTTGGTTTCCCTGATGTCAAACCTCTGCACCTGAAATTAACCTCTTCTCTAGAACTGCTGCTTGCTGAAACTACATAACCTGTGTCCTAGCATCTCTTTCACTTTGTCTGTATGCTTCATCTGTACACTCTTCCATCACAGTGAGTGCCAAATCTGTAAGAACTGCTGCTTAACTACTTGTATGCCACTCTGTTCCCAAATAAAATTAAAAGAGTTCAAAGGGGTAGTATAAAAACCAAAAATATACTGGAACTTACTTAATAAGAAATCTAATTAATGTTGCTATGTTAGGAGATCCTAACTAATTGTTATCTATAAATTGGCTAATTTTTTTGGCTAAAAGCTAAGGGAACTAGGTTTGTTCCCTAAGTCTTTTCTTAGGGTTGATTTCAATACAAAATGGGTGGTATTAATGGTATTGTAATTTCTGTGCCTGCTGCCATCAATATAATTTGTAGACAGGGGGGCTTGCAATTTTAACTGGAAAATGGTAGGGCTTTTATTTGAGCAACCTAAGAAAAAGTTTGCTATGTTAAAGAAAAATGTCTTTTTTCTATTCTAATGAAAACACATTATCTGATTATCATAAATAAGATTTCCAAATTATTGAAAATTTCTATTAAAAAAAATCACTCTTGTATACAATACTGAAAATATTTTAAATTACAATATAAATAGAGACAATATTCTATATACTCCGTAATTATTCAGTGATTACTCAATTTCAAAAATATTGATTTTTCTTAGCTAATAAAACCAATTAAATATGACAGACTTTAATGAAGATTATATTCAGGCATAAACAGAATAGAGTACTTATAAATGACCACTCTGAAACTTACTTTCAAGTCTTTTAATACTGTTTTTGTCACTGAAATATTTATGTTCAAACTGTCGTTGTACTAATTAAATATTTTTAAATTACCAATATAAGATAAGAAAACATTTTTTCCATGGGGTATTTCTAGCTGGTTTTAGAGTTAACCCTTATGTGCACTATCACACACCAGAACAGAAAACAACTCTATGCTTTCAGAGAATTTAAAAACTCCAGAACTGTACTTACTTTTTGAAGTATTGCAAAGGTAGCCTTGCTTTTACAACATAAAGAATATAACTTGCTATCTTATCTTGTATATTTCTTATAATATGTATTTACAATTGTATGTTTAAGTATGATAAGACTTGTATATTCTACTGGAAATTCAACTCCACATTTAAATGTATAACCTGACAAAGAAAGATTAAGTTGCCTAAAATGCACAATTCCTCACTGTCATATTTTCAGATTCTTACTACACTTACTCGCACTGCTTCAGTTTACTAAAAATTTTACATAATTTTTCACTTACTATTTCTCTCTGGTTAAATGCTCAACTCTAATTGCTACCATTGAATAGGTGAATTAGTACATAATGAATCAATAAGTAAAGGAATAACTAAATAGTTAGATACTGGGTTGTTTTTATTGTCTCCTTAGCTTAGGCAGTTTCTGAAATTTGAAATAATTTGTGCAAATTTTCCATCACAATGTTACTACGGTACAGAATCCATTCTTGCCAAGAAGGTAAATCATAAATAGTAGCTTGCTTCACAGGTCTGACTTCAAGTCACTGTGCATAAGGCTCTTGTTTAATTTACACAGAAAAAAAAATTATCGAGGCCCTCCCTGGTGGCGCAGCGGGTTAAAGCACAGCACTGAGAATCTGAAGCCACTTCCGCATGAGTTCGATTCCCGCCTGCCGCCTGCCCCGGAGGAGACCACATGGCGTGGCAGACCTCTCCTGACCCGCCCACTGCTCCCCTCAGCAGTGTACTTCGTCGATCTGCCTGTTCTGCTCCCCACTCTGTCTCTGGTGAAGCCTCTCACCGCCCCTGAGCCTCTGGCCTGTACCCCAGTTCTGTATGAATAAATAAATAAATCTTTAAAAAAAAAATTATCGAGTATCATTTGTATAAATGAGATTGCCTTAATTCTTAAAAACTATCCCTTAAGAACTAAAAATGAAATTATTTTGATGGCAATCTTTCCAAAGTAATATATATGTTCTTTGCCTTCCTTAAAATATCCTGGTCAGTATCAACATTAAAAAACTGATTACAATATTGTTTGATCAATAAAATTATACTAGTTCATACTGTATGTGAATTTAGAATTTTATAGCTATTTATACAGGCACTTTTACATTATAGATACTCAGATAACAGGTTTTCTGTTAGTTTCTTTATCACCTGGTGATGTTAGTGGACCCAAATTAGCAAGTCTCTCCTCTAGAAAGTTTTTTTTTTTTTTTTTAAATCTCCTGGGGTAGACTAGCAATAAGCCAGAAAATTCAGAGGATTGTGCCCAGAGGGTGAGAAAAGGTAAGACTAGAGGGCAAAGGGTTTAAATTAAAAAATAAAGGATAAACAAAATATAAAAGCAATAATTAATGATAAATTAAGTGATAATCAAGTTTTACTTCAGATAGTCTTTATGTTCCAAGTAATTGAGATTGCTTGGCAGAAAACTATGGACAAGTGATATAGTACTTTATAAGTTCAATCATAACTAACAACTACTTTAATATTAGTATAAGGAAATTCTAATTAAGATGCCAAGAGTACCAAAATTTAGAATAAAAAAAGAAAACGATGCCAAGGCATAGGAAAAGCAATACCTGTCACTAGGAGTTTGTTTGTTTTTTAATATATTCTATCTTTCACATGTAGAAAAGTAATTGGCCAGTAAAGATATTAATATACTTTTAAATTCACAACACTTTCAACATATTTTTTAAATACAAAAATCAACCAATGGTGTATATGTCCATATACACACACATTTTCTTAATTTGAATTTGTTATTTTACTTATTTTATTATCAACTGAGAGCACAAGCCACAGATCGAGGAAGTATTTGCAAATGACAGAAATATAAAATATTTTTATCCAAAATATATCAAGAGGTCTCAAACTAAAACTCAACAATAAAAACACCCAACTAAAAGACGGCCAAAGCCTGAACAATTTATTCAATTCTAATGAAGATACAGAGGGCAAGTAAACATATTAACAGATGTCCTATAGGATATGTCATTAGGAAAATGCAAATTAAAAGAGCTGTGAGATACCACTATTCCAAACATTGACAATGCCAAGTTCTGTTATTTGGTCAAACTTTAAACACTGACAACACCAAGTGCTGTTAGCTATGTGGAGCAACAGGAACTCTCATTCACTGCTGGTAGCAATGCAAACTAGCACAGTCATTTCAGAAGACAGTGTGCCATTTCCAGAGGAAACCAAACAAATTCTTCCACTATAACTCAGCAACTGTGTTCCATGATATTTATCCAAATGAACTGAAAATATACCTATACCAAAATTTGAACAGATGCTTCTAACAGTTTATTGTGAACATAATTGCTAAAACTTAGGAGCAAACAAGGTTTCCTTCAGTAAGTGAATGACTAAATAAACTGTAGTATATACATACTACTATGTGGAGTAAAATTTAAAACTAAAAAGTGATGGATGAGTCATTAAGCCATGAAGAGACATAAGGCAAAACTACGGAATAGCAAAAGGATCAGTGGTTGCGCTTAGTTAGGAGGTAGGGATGAATAGGTGGAGCAAAGGATATTAGAACTGTGAAATTTTTCTATGTGATACTACAGTGGTGGATATATATCATTAACAATTTGTAGAAACCCATTAAAATGTTCACTACCAAGAGAAAACTAATGAAATTATGAACTTAATAATGATAATGGTACATCAATATGGATTCATCTACTGTCACAAATGTACTACTGTGGGGGTGGGGTGTTGACTGTTGGGGAACTTGAGTATCTGTAGGGATGGAGCTATGATTACTCTAGGTAGCTTCAGTTCAATTTAGGTATAGAATAGAGTTTATTAACTAACAAAAATTCCAGAACAATTATTCCAAAGATGCAGTTATTTAAACACTCTTGACATTACAAAGACATCTCAAAATTTTGAAGTATTATAAATAAGATTACATTTGAAATATTCTTACTCTTTATTTTGACATATAAAAACTAAAAACTGTTGCATCTGCCTTCTCATATGTCAAGCTGTGTAACATGATACCGAAATATAAATGCTGAAACTTACAAAGTAAAATTCAACAGTAAGTAAAACCCTCGCCTTAACAAAAATGTTGAGATAGACACTCTAACTGACCACTCTAGAACTATCATAATTTTACTAGTTTGGTTTTAATAGCTAAAAAGGGATATTAACATGAACATTTACCTTTGAGTCATAATTTTGAAGGCATCTGGGAGGTAGCAGTCTGTATTCTCCATCTGAAATGGGTCAGCATCACAAATCTTGTCATCTGTCCGACCATAGTTAGCACTCTCAATCATGATGACATCACTGCCTGGACACCGAAGATCTATAGAATAACCTTCACAGGACAATTCTCGCCTAACTAACCCAAATGGTAAAGCTGCTCTGCTGAAACCTTAAAAATAAAAAAGAAAGAAAATGAAACTTAACTCATTTATTAAGTATAGTATTTTAATAAAGGCATTTCAAGTACTATGATTCCTGTCTATATTTGAAATGGACCACAAAGTATATTTTTTAAGTCATCCATTTACAGTTACTAAATAGCTCTTTGTTTTTTTAAATTCTGTGTGAATGATTTATTATTAAATTTATAGGTATATACACAAAACATTTTCTGTATAACTTGGTCATGATCAGAAATTAAGTCAGTCTAATAAGTTCGAAGAAAAAGGGTATATTTAATCAATGGATTTTTAAATAGTGGCACATTTGTTTTACAAATATAGAATTTAACAAATATTAAGGAAAATTTTCATTTTTGTAAAAAAAAATAGAAGTTATACTACATATTACATATCTGGTCTTAACTTTCTAATTAATAGACATATACTAATTTCTGCTAGTAGCATTATCAAAATAATTTATTTAAAACTGACATCAAGGAATGAATAGGCATTGAGGAGCTTGCACTATTCCAATCTAGGACAACAAAACTGAAATAACTGGAAAGGATCAAGGCCAGTCTTGTCATCCACATAATGGTGACGGAACATGTTTCTTTTTCTACTTGTCTAGTTCTAAAACAAGACAGTGTATATAGATGTCCTTAATCAAAAGGTCTATATAAATTTATGTATGGTTTGCGTTGGGCAGAGTATTGACAATTACTGTTTATGAATTCTTGTAAAAGAGATTCCCAAATAAAATGAAAAACTATAACACTGTTTCATTTAGCTTTCAAATAGTTCTATAAAGAACACAGGACAAAGGCTAAAAGGAGAGAAAACCAAGAATAGCCAAGAGGACTTATATGTGAGAAGAACATTTTTAATGTGCTGAGTTAATCAACTATATCAAAAAAAAGAAAACTCCTAAATTATCACTATTTTTAAAATTTCCATTCTCTAACCTGTTACCACCTATAGATTTCTGTTAAAAAAAAAATACTAGCAATAGGCCCTCCCTGGTGGCGCAGCGGGTTAAAGCACTGCACTAAGAAGTTTAAGTCACTTCCACATGAGTTCGATCCCTGCCTGCCCCGGAGGAGATCCACATGGCGTGGCAGACCTCTCCTGACCCCGCCCGCTGCTCCCCTCAGCAGTGTACTTCGTTGATCTGCCTGTTCTGCACCCCTCTCTGTCTCTGGTGAATCCTCTCACCCTCCACATCTCTGGCCTGTACCCCAGTTCTGTACGAATAAATAAATAAATCTTTAAAAAAAAATACTAGCAATAATTTTCTTTCTCCACTTTTAATTACTCTGTATTGTATGAATTACACCTTCTAGGCTTTTTTACAAAAGAAAAAAAAAAAAAACACTGGCATTCAAAAGTAAAATAAATGGTTCCAAGTTAGAAACTTTTACATTGAAGAGCTGGATTAGATGATCACTTCAATCCAAAAACCAAAATCTGTCTTCTTTCTCTTTATTACACAATGCCTTCCACTAACTCAATGAAATACAAGGTTACCCAGATGAATATACATCCTCTTTCTAATGCAAATAATACTCCTAAAGGGTAACTGGGTTACACACTGCTTTGATTTAGGAAATTAGCAATTCTCAAACTTGGCTGAACTCTCATTCCTACTAAGAAAACCAAATGTGCAAGTGGAGTGAAGGAGGAAGAAATGAATACTACTAAGGCATGGGACTGTGGTAAACCCAATCATGTTAGATCTTACTAAAGATCTATGATACTATAAGATAACAAAAATATGGTGTGGTATTATGAGATAACAAAAAATATTTAGAAATGAACATTTGATAAAGAATATGAGAGTCAACTAAAATAGGAAAAGAAAATGGCAAGAGCGGCATACTTCAGTAATTCAGTAAATTTCTAATATAGAATCTTCTAAAGAAAAGATACCATGGTATTTAGACTCTTGCTGCACAGAACTGTGTTTCTTAATGGTGTGAATTGCTTTATCTATTGCCTACTGTTTTAAATTACAATTTCTCTTTTTCTGAAGTTCTTGCTCTCAAACTGCTATTTCCACTCAACTTTATACATATTTTCACTAAAATGGTTATCACTGCCCTATGCTTACTGTGCATATTCAATCTTAACTGTGAGGATCAAGTTAATAGTCATGATCCCAATGCTCAGACTGGTATGTAGCATGTAATGCCAACACATGAAAGCACACCAAATTGCTAAATTAAACAATTATTTCTTTAAAATCATAGAACTTGCAGTATTTTCTTTTGCAATACCTGCTTTCCTTGGTAGTGAAAACAAATACAATGAGCATTAAGAAATAGAATATTTGTAATCAATGAAAATAATTAGCCACTTCCAGAAAAGACAAAGTATTTAAACTCTGTCAAGTTTCATTGTCTAGATTCTGCTGGGGTTTGTCAGTTTTTTCTCACAAAGACAGATAGGTTACATATTTTAAAATTTTCCTTTATTTCTGTTTACAACCAGGAATAAATCTAACATATATGTGTGTATATATCAAGAGACATTAAAGTAGTCATTATAATTGCTAATATATACACTACAATGGTGGCACTGTGCTAAATGCTGTATATACATCACTCTGCTTTACACTCAACATCAAAAACAGCAAAAGGAATAATGAAGTAGCTACTACTGTACTTACTATCAATTTTTGAGAGTATGAAACTAATGCATCAAACAGTAATTCAGAATCTCAAGGATTATTTAAACTAATTCTAAACTCATGAAGGATCCTCTAAGAGTCCAATCTCTTATTAATGGTCATGAACAGAAAATTATGTGTATAAAAATGCAGAGATTTATGACATAAATATAGAGACCAAAACTACCCTTCTCAAAGACATTCCAAGTTCTCACAAATCTTCCCCATATACATTTCTAAACAGATTAGCTTTGTGTGCATGTTATTCTAACATTTTCAAGTGATCAATAGTTAAAAATTTTATCTTAAAGATATAAACATATATGCATATGTTAACATGGATTTGTTAGTACATTATATGGAATATCAAGCTAAATGCTACTCAAGAGTACTTGTGGGGAACTAGATGAAGTTTGCACACATCATAGATTAATTATTCTAGTCAAGTGCTGAACGGGAAAGAAGAAACATGCCAATTACAGAGACAAAAGAAAAATTCACACAAAATTTTAGGGAAAAAAATATAATTCTGAACCTTGTTTCACCACTTCATACAAGTTCTTTGAAAAGTTTAAGGGTTATTGATTCCACTTCTTTCAACAACAATTGTATTTTAAAGGAAGTTTGTTTGGAAAGTCAATTGAAATTAGTATTTATTTTAAAAATTTAATAGTTAAACTATGAAAAGATAGAATAAATTTTCTTCCTAAAAACACTTATTTGCTCCCATATATGTAGCATGGAATGACCACCTGAAACAATTCACATGAAGAAAGCATCACAGATCTGGAACAATTTCTTAATTGCACTTTCCCCCTTTATACATGAAGTAATTTTTAACTGTTTCAATTGAAGAGGGGATATTAAAGAAAAATCATTTGCCAAGACCATATAACTGAAACTGATTCCCAAACATGACTTTGCATAAGAGTCTTCTGATCAATGTTTTTAAAATAAAGATTTTAAGCCCTAATCCAGATACATGATTCAGGATCTGAATTCAAAATAAATTTGTATTTGGAGAGGAAAACATTAATTTATTTTTATATGGTAACTGAGATTACGCTATGGATTTCTCTAAGGTCTTTTAAAAATAGTTCCTTTCTCTACTGAGATTACATATTTGCTAAATTGCTGCTGTCACACTTCTCTTAATCCTTTAATATAGTATTACTTTAATCTTTGAATATCTTTACAATCATCAACTTGAAATGTTTGTTAATCTAATATCTGAGCTCACATTAGTGACTGTTTTATGGATGCTTTACCTCCTAAGTAAGAGTCAACTTTCTAGTTTCTTTGCATATCTTGTAAATTGTTGTAGTTGAAACTAAACATTTTGAATAGCACACTTTGAACAACCTTAGATTCAGATTGTCCCCCTGCTGCAATACTTTCTTGACAGTCTCTCACAGGATTCAACCTGTAGAATCTGTCTTCCCCATAGTATGCAGGTGCTGCATTCTTATTGCTACCATTATTGCCATTTTAACTAATATTTTTCTGTTCTAGCCTGGCTTCCTAGATCACCCTTGTATCTACATAGCTTAGTGTCCAGCCAATGATTGCACAGAAACGTTGTACAAAACCATCACCCCACAATAATGTCTCCACCCTTTATAGGCTGATTATTCACAGTGTGTGTTCAGGAGTGTTCAAATTTCAGGCCATTTTCTATCAACCTTGATTATTTACTCTGCCAAGTCCTCTCACACCCCTGTAAATCAAGAATGCACAGAGAACACGTGGCTTTCACTTCCAAAATTCCTCCGTGCCTAGTTGGGCTCTCCAGTCTCCCCAACTGGGACCACATATGCTGGCAAAGCTTTCCCCACTTATTTTGCATAGCATTTATCACTGTTCTAACAACACTGCGGACCATGGCTTCCACCCCCCACTCCAAACCCAGTCAACTCAACCTGGCAGCAAAGTCACCAAGTTTCAACACACTCCTGCCGGATGAAACTACCACATGACAATTAGCTAAGGAGTAGGAGATGCTCCTGGAAAAGGAGCAACCCCAGGCTAGAGGGCTATAAAATTCCACTGTCCGTAACAGAAGATTTATCAATTTTCCATTAATAAACACTTCCCAATTTCTTGCTTGGCATTGGTTAATTTCAAGAGCCCAACAATGGTTGCTGACAATTTTGTTCAGTTTTATAGTTGTTTGGGCAGGGGATGAGGGGATTTGCTACCTTCTTCACCCCCACCGTTACCAAAAGTTCCCCTAAAACTTTTCAAGTATTTATTGACTGTAAATTCTCAAAACCACTATATGAAATAGTTGTTACTGTCACCATTTCACACAGGAGGAAACACAGATAAATTGCATTTTCT